ATTTAACAATCAAACTAACTTATTATATAACTAAACAACAAACAAATTAATTTCTATTTTATTTTTACTTTTAAACATTCCTTCTTTCTAACTTCTACATATTTTTATATTCTAACTTTTTTCTGCTATACTTTCACTACTATCAATTTTGCCAAAACTTTCTACTTGTCATAATATTCTTATTCTCTTTAATCTTAGTAAAAATTTTTCTTTTTGATCATATAAAAACTCAAAACATAACTTTCAGAATTTTGTTCTAATTCTTGCTTACATATACAATTATTAATTTTATCCAATCTTTTTTTTACATTATCCTCTTCACTTTGTAAACTATATTATTCTCTCTTAGTTATTTTAAAAATACAATTTTATTATAACCTAATATATATTAATTTAAATATATACCTTTCTACTCTTGTAAATCCAATTCCATAAATCTTATATAAATAAAGCTTTTTAGATCTTTCAATTAAAATCTTGCTTGTACTATCTGCAACTTCATTCTGAGACAAAAGAACTTTTTCCTCTTGTGTTAACTCTACACTTCATTTTCAAATAAACTTTTTACTTTCTTTAATAGTAAACTTCGCTTAAAGCTCCTCTTTAAATAGCTACGAAAATAACTACACTTACTTATTTTGTTAAAAACTTCAACAAAACTTTCTACAAACTTTAAATATAAAACCAATATATATTATACAACTCAAAATTTTCTGACAAATCAACACAAAGCCTAATTAAGCAACTAATTAGCAAATCTTATTGCTCTTAAACTATACAAAAATAATCTTCATAACTTTGTTGTTGTAGTATCTCTTAAACCGTCCATTTTAGCAGGCAAATTTGCCTGCTAAAATAATTTGAGAAAAACTAACTTTCCTTAAAATTTTTTTATAGAAAAACTAAACCGAATTAACTAGAATAACTTCTAGAAATATAAATCATATGGTAATACAAAAAATACATCACGGCACATGCTATTTGGTGCAAATGAAGGGTACAAATTAAAATTATGCATAATACATTCGCTGATATTGCAAAATATTTCATAAGAATTAAATTTCTGAGATTGCTCTGTAAATTTAGCTTTAAAACACCAATGTCTAGACAAAATAAAATTACTATGTAATGTAGGTACTTACGCATAATAAAATTTTGAGTTATTACATAATTAAATTGTCATAATTTAACAATGTAAAATCAGAATTATTTATTTGTAAAATTTTAAATCTAAGTTTTTACAATTAAGTTTATTCTTAAAACGTTCATATTTATATAAAACCATGTATTCGAAATTACATTTTCATTTGTTTTAATAACACAAACCAACTTGAGATATTTCAATCCTGTTTTGATAACATAGCCGATTTGAAAAATTTCACACATTTATTGGCAAATAAATGCTTTGTGTTTTATTCCTGTTCAATTCCAATTCCATTTTGATAACAATTTGCAAGGTTATATATTGCAATAGCATTATTCATTTATACAAATTTTTTTTAAGGTCTTTATCTTTGGTGTTAAACTCTAAAAAACAGTTTCGATTGTTATTGCAGCAGAGAGCTACATCACACGTGACACACCAAAGATTACTTTCATGCGGTGTTTTACAATCCAAGTCAAAATTTTTTTCACTTGCATGCTAGCTACACCAAAGACACGATTCTTGTCCTAACCTCCACTCTGGTAAATGATCACCAGGTACAAACCATTGGTTTGAAAGTTAAAAATGCTTAGTTACTTTTAGCCATTTTATTTCTTTTTTTTTTCATTCATTTTTCTTTTTGTTTTTTTTTTTGATTCACTTCTTAACTGAATTTCTCTGACATTATTTGCGGCATCTATCAGATCCCAAATAATTTCAAGCTGAAATTCTTTTTGCTCTTGTGTCGAATCTAGGGTTCGAGCAATTCAATACATATTGACAATCGTGGTGTCCAAAAGCCAAAAAAAAAGGAGCACCCAGTTCCTTCGTACAGCTTGTTAAGTATTGTAATACAACCACAGTTGGTTTGCAACATCTATACCATTTATAAAATAGTTGCAATCATCAATCACCCTTGGAATCTTTAGCTTTTTTTTAGATTTAGAGCCAAACACCGCACACACTTTCATTGCATTGGTGCTGGTCTCTCTTGGCTGCTGTCGTTCATGTTTAATTTCTCATTCATCATCAACAAGACCATGGATTGTTGACAACATTGTAACTGGACCATTGTCCTGCCAAAATACAGCAAACACCCCATTTACTATGACACCAGAATGTATATTCCAATCAAGCCGGATATTTTTTTCTAATTTTAGTTCTTTTAGAAATCTAGAAGCTATTTTTCGAATGGTTTTACAAGCACCAATATTAATCTGGCGAAGATTCTAAAAAAGAGGAATATTAGAAAAGTAGTTATCCATGTAGAGATTGTATAGCAATTGAGAATAGGTAACTGTACGGCAAGATCATAAACCTAACAACCAATTTGGTTGAGCCCAACCACTTTTGCTACTTCACTTGGAAAACACGCGAAGTAGGCAAGAAAGTATATGTATATCCTGACTCACAAAGCAAAAAATCTTGTAGCCCTCTGGAGTCAGTTTGTTTTTAATACAGACGGTGTGAATGCTTCTTCCTAAAAACCTTACCATTATTTCATCAACTGAGACATTTGAATCTGGTATGTAGAGCTGTTTTGAGATGTCTTTAACATGTGAAAGCAGCAATTCCAATTTTTCAAAGTAGTTTTTGATTACTACTGCAGGAGGGGAGATATGCAAATATCTTTTAATCTGTTCAAAATGCTTTAGTAATATTTGTTTTGAAATATCATGAAGCGGGAGCTTCAGATCTTTGTTCCAATATTGATTAAGAGAGGTAGTTTAAAAATTTCCTGATAAATTACTAGTGCAATCCAAACAATGAGCTCCCTACAGTCTATGTTTGTCTATTGTCTACTAGTAAGAATACCAGATTCTTATATTAGTGTATACGAATTCGTATTGACAATGATTTGATCCAATAAATTGTTTGTAAAAAAAAGAAAAAAAGATTGATCGGGTTTTCAAAACTGACTTCATATTGTGGGAGCAAATTAACAAACCCCTGGTGCAGTTGCCATTGATGAACTAGAGGTTCAAAATTAGTAGATAGTGGTGGCAATTTTGGTGCAGCTTTTTGTTTGCGAACCTTCTTGCGAACATACCAGTGTTCTCGTCAGATTCTGGGTTGTTCAAGAAATGCCAGTGGGACGTCAGACCTAGTATATATTTCTCATTGTCGTCATTATCATATATTTCAGAATTTTCATAAGAAAGTGACAAACTCATATTTGCATAGTAAAAAAAAAAAAATTCTAGCCCGATTTGTTTTTAGAATTTTGATACAATTATCAATTTTTTTTAAGATTTGTATTGTACTACTTACACGTGATCTAAATGATTATCATGCTTCTAATTCTTTAAAATAAAGTTATGTGACGATATACAAAATCCTATTCTTTTATTCTAGCATATAAAAAGGGAGACTATTGCCTAATAAAGTCAGATGTAATTTTACAAAATCGGATAAAAAAAATTCTAGCAGACAAATATGCCCGCTGAACAGTTTAAGAGATAGTAGTTATGGTATACAACACTGCAGAGTTGTGCATTTAATTACCACCAGTAGTTTGCTAGGCCCAGTGCATTAAGAAAGTATTATCAACTATAACTGAATATTCAACTTTTACTTAACAATATCATTTATTTATTTTTCTTTTTAACTTTATTACAATTATTTTTACATTAACTTTTTCTTTATTTATCAAACTTCTTTTAAAATACTATACTTATTTATATTACAAAAAATTTATATCTTATGTATCTTATAAAACTCCTATAAAACTTTATACTTATCCAGGACTCACCTAGATTTGTATAAAGTTTTTCAAATCTAGGTGAGTCTTGGCCACTCTAGTAGGTTTAGGTTGCAGATAAATTAGTCTAAGCTCTTATTCTTGTATATAATTTATATTTATTTGTTATTATACAAATTAAGTTTTTATATAATTTTTTATATAACCACTTATATAAAATTATTCAATAAAGATATGAGCAAGGCCTCACCTTAATATTTTAAAAAAAAAATAATGAATAAATAGGTAAGTAAATAGATATTTTTATAATAGATAAGTGAGTAAGTAAATTAGTAAGTACTCTAGCTATAACAAAAAAAAAGATTATATAATGTAAATAGCTACAATTTTGAAAATTTTTTAAAATTCTAGCAGATTTCTTAGTATTGTCGAGATATCTTCGCTCAAAGTTTAAAAAAAACTTTGGTGCAGCTTTTTATTTTGATAGGCGTTTTGAGTATTTTGAGCGAAAATATTTCGACAAACACCTGGTCAAATTGATGAATTTTTTTTATTTTGATTATGAGTTAGACAATTCGAATAAAAAAATCTTCATCAAATTTGATCAAGTGGTTTCTTTGCTCAAAGTTTTAAAAAAATTTAATTTTAATAGGCGTTTTTTGAGTTTTTTTTTTAAAAACTTTGAGCAAAGATATCTTGACAACTACCTGACCAACTTCGATGTATTCGAATCGTCTAAACTCAGAATCAAAATAACAAAAATTTCATTGAGTTTAATCAGGTGTTTGTCGAGATATCTTCACTCAAAGTTTTTGATTTGTTAGGGAGTATGAATAATAAATATGGGGTATAAAAACTAGCCCCTAATTAAAATTTAATTTATTATTGTTTTTTTTTTTTATAATTATATATACTTATATATTAATCATACTATATATAGTTTAGTTTATATTTTAGTAATATAATATTATTTTATTTAAATTAATAGTATATAATAAAATATTTACAGTACAGGGAAATTTTTTTTTATTATATTTTTCTAATATTTACTTCATTTTAAACTATATATTAAGATATCGATAATTTGTAAAACCTGATTTTTCATAATACACAATACATTGGCATACGGTAATAAAAATATGTAAAAGAGTAAAAATGGATGTATATGTTACTGTTCAAACTAAGACCGTTGAAAGTTAAATCTAATAATAGTAAAATACGTATAAGTTTAAAAAGAAACGGTAACAAATCATAACCTTAACTTTAGGCTTTTTTAAAATAAATTCTATCACTGTCCTTATTTAGTAATAAAAATACGATTTAACCGAAACTGGCAACAAAATGATTATGATTTATTCATCAAAGTTAGCAGTCGATGTCAATCTACTAGTAAATTACTAAAGTAGGTATTATGGCGAGTGTAGGTACCTGGTACGTACTGTAGCGAATTACGATTACGTTGTATGTCTATACTGCATGCTGTACGTGCATATATCTCATAGAGATCAGAATCATGAATCTTCCCATCGTTCGATTAATCTTAATGTGATGAATGATTCGAAAATAAAATTTTAGTTTAGAAGTTTGATACAGTGATAAAGAAGGTTGACTAAATTTTTATAGTTTAGTTCAATCTTCCTGTTTATACAGGACCCAGTCCAGATCAACAGGCCACGCTAAAACATGTTCAAACCAGATCCGTTTTTTTTAACGTTCTCTTTGTTAGTAAACCTATTATTAAACGACTTCTGAAATCTAACCGCTATTAGGTTATAGAATTAAATTAACAATTTGTAAGTTTCGATAAATCACACATTTTACGTAATTATTAATATAAATTGTATCACTTAAATAACGTAATAGCGGAGTTACTATGCAGATCAAAGTCTGATTAAACAATGCAATAATATAATTTACTAACTACTGCACCAGTATTTTGCATTTCATAGGATCGAATGTAACGTATCCACGTTGAAGGTTGAATCAATTCAGGAATAAAAATTATATTTTTATTCTGCATTTAATTAATTTTCAAATCATATGAAAATACTCAATAGTGTCATTGTGAGTGTATCTTGCGTTTAGGATAGTTAACCAATAAGAAAAGGTTAGAACTCTTTTAGGAATTCGCAAAAATTGATCTAATCAAATGATTATTTGATCACCATATCAAACATTACAAGTTAATCGACAATTTCTCACCATTTTCAAGAATAAATCAAGAACATGTGTGAACATCAGCAATCTAACTAAATCAGTGTAACTCGTATGTACAGACGTATGTGCGAATTTTTATTTCAGGTTAAGTAGCCTAATTACCTTTCAAGAATCTCATGTGATTCTAGCTTCGTTTAATGAAAGTAAAATTATACCCAAGGGTAACACAACTAAAAAGGTTAATACCTTTAAAAAATATCTTAAGCGATGGATGTCATTAATATACCATTATTAAAAGTTTCGATATTACGCTTCTACGGCTATTCAATAATCATTAATTTTCATTCACACATTTGGTTCTTGTACAGATAGATATACCAAATTTAAGAATCTTACATAATACTTCTAGAAGCTCACTATAGTTACTGTAAAAATAATTAGATCAGGGTCGTTTCATCAAATATAAATTGTGGGAAATAATAACTATCACCTTGATTATTTAAGTAACTATTATATTATAACCGGATTTTAAGTTTCGGAAAATTCGTATACTTACCCTAAGGGTAAAAAATAAATAAATAAATAAAAATAAACATATATTTATATATTGTAACAATCTGATTGATTTTAATTGTTAATTTTTATTCATCGATCGATATAAAAGCATCTCATCTCTTTGTTGGTGAGCCAGTACCGAGGATTTCGGGATTTGCGTTAGGAATTTCAAATTTTTTCTTTTTTTTTTGCATTGAAATTATTATTAATTAATAATAACAAAATTAAAATTAAAAAGAATTAAAAATTGTTTCCTAAAAAAAAAAAAACACGAACTGAAATTATCTTTCTAAGAAAAAACAAAAAAAAAACAAATGGGTTTACGTATCTCAAAAGAAACTTCACCTTTTCCCTTAACCGTTTACGACCCACTAATAAACGAGAAATCGAATTTACCTCGTTTAACGACTACTTTAGTATGCGATGACATTGATAATCCATCGGTTGCGCTACCTTTAACATCCACCAAAGTTCAAAACCTTATTCAAGAAGCTGAACAAAAACTTGGTGCACAAGACGTGCAAGAATATTCTCAGTCAATAATTTTATTACAACAAGCAACTATTTTGGGCTCAGCGTACGCAGCAGCGAAACTCGGCGCTCTCTATCTTGATCCACAAAACAATTTAACGGCTTCGAATTATCTTTCGGCAGTCGGTTATTATTCTATCGCTTTAAAACTTATATCAATGATCCCTTGCAAATGGTGGGATTTGACATTGCTTTTTGATATAATTTCTGGTGGATGGTACGAACTAATCTGCTCTCGATTTGATCGTCGAAGGGATTCATATACTTGGAATCACGGAATTAAACTTATGAAACAAATTGATAAAAAACTTCAAGATCCAGATTTTATTAAAGTTTTATCACTTAAAGATACTAAAAAATATCGCGCCATCAGAATTTATATGGTATTTTGTTATGCTCTAACAGCTGAGGCTGATAATGACTATCCTTTAGCATTAAAATTATATCAAGAGACGGAACGGATAGGATTTTGTGGATTTATTTTGGCAGATAAATTAATTAAAAAAGCTCACACTAAATATAGATTACTTGAATCTAGGGTACCAAGGGTACAACCGGTTTGTGTACAATGTGGTTTTGTGGCGAAAGAATTGACGGAAATTTGGAGATTACTAGTTTGTTCAAAGTGTCAAACTGTCGCCTGTTGTAATAGAGATTGCTTAGCAAAACACCTTAAATCTCATGACAAATTTTCAAAATAACTATATATATATATATATATATTTGTAGTTTAAATATTTCTATAACTTTATTTTTTTTAATAAATTTATTTTTATTAAACAATTTACGAATACTATATGTAACGTTAAGACGTGGTCAAAATAGAAAACCCATAAACATTGTAAAAATGACTTTGATCATTTCTCCACGCCGATACAAATTTCTTTATTCTTATGTTAATAAAAGATAACATTGGGTGAATGGTTTTTCAGACCTTCATATGATACCAGAAATCTAGATTCCAAAAAAATTATTAGAGCAGTAACAATTAACTCGTTAAAATCCTCTCTCTCGCTTAAGCTTCTGTAACTAATCGTAAATTCATGCTATCTAGTTACAATATTCGTAAATTTTCGCATGCTTATGATATCTGGTTATGAAAATTCTCATAGATATTACGGTATATAAATTCTCTTTATTTTTTGATTTCAAGAACTCTAAACATCATCTAAACCTTTCACTATAATAAATGCTATATGGTTCCATCGAAATGCACTTAGAGAATGCCGCCAAAAATCTAAATATAGAATTCTTTATGCAAAAGGAACGCGGGCTTCGTACGTGCTACTCAGAAAAATCCGATTCATAGCAATTGTTCTCTTTAACATGTAAAGGCTCTATATTTCTACATTTAGATGTATAGATCTTCTTTTGTCTCTTTTGTGATCCTGGATTGTCTATCTAATCCTTCTTTTTTTTTTTTTATACATATTACTATAAATTGCAATATCGTGTTATTAGTCGACCAATTAACGTCGACCTTTGTGCTTAATGCAGGTAGTTCATTTTTTTTAAATGATCGTTTGGCGATTATTGTAAACCTCTGAATAAAACAATTATCAAATTTTTATCCAATATAAAAAATATATGAGACAATATAAGTTATAGTATCAGAGATTGGCTAAATCGACTAGCCCTTAATCGGCTAATAACAGTACGCCCGTTATTTAGACTCGGGTACGTACATTACCGTTCGCATCTATATTAACCCGGGAATGGATTGTTTAATTTCTTGTTACACCTCATCTTTAAAGTGGAGCTGGCGCATATAGATATATGCACAATGGGAGGTAAATGACTTATAGAACGGTATATAATAAATGAGTGTTTAAATCAAAATTCAAACCATTATATATATTTATTAATTAATAATATATATATATATACTGTATATATATATTATCCCTCCGAAAGTTTGCACTATGATCATCGCTTATTGATTTAAAGGCCTGATTGGTGGATTGAGCATCCTAAGGCTTTGCTAATAACATATAGCATTAGAATGCTATTGTACTAACATAGTTAACACTGAATATAATGAATCACCTTACAACGAAGAATCCAGTATAAAGGCAGTCCGTTATAAAGAGAGTTGATTGTTATGGTTCGTCTGGCATTATCAGTTATCAGACATTTTGACATCTCTAATTTCATATCACGACTTCAACATTTCGATCTAGACACATGTACGTACGTACTTCTGTGTACAGTATCAATATTGATATATTAAAAACTCGTGCACTATAACTATAGGAAAAATATTAATGCCTGAGTAACAGACAATTAATAAGATATATTGAAGCTAAATGTATGATTTGTGCCCATATAACAAATATGGTAAGTTATGCTACTTGGATTTGGTTAAATACAAAGTTTCTCAGTTGGACATTTAGATTATCCACGTTCTTCAAGTAAACTGGCATCAAGTTTTCTCTTGCGTAACTGTAATCTTATTGAGAAAATCCTATTATATTTGGTAGCGATCTGCCTCAATAATATAATGCTGTAATGTAAAATATTGTTGTCATTTTCCCACCAGGAGGTGTTACGTAGTACCATCTTTCAGGTGGTGTCCACCTCACACCAGATGGTGTCGATATGTCCTCCTATCGGTAATACATGTTACTTTAAGAGATGAATCTATGCTTAATATGAACTTATATAATGTCGGGTGCAAATAATAAAAATATTGTTACGCAATGAATAATTTCATTGTCGAAATAAATGATCAATGTGTCGCAATCACTTACCCTGGTTGACGATTGTTATCGTGAAAAAATTCAGTCTTCAATGGCTGAGTTTTAATTTGAAAATGTAATAAGATCAAACAAATATCAATATAATACGTGTAATAATAATAAAATAAATAAATAATATGCGTGACACTAAATATTATCTTAATCTCATCCTTTTTGATTTAAACAGTGTATTTATTATTATTAAAAAAACGTATTTATGGTTCTTGATCTATTGCTTTTATTATATATATATATAATAAATTATTTACCGTATAGCACTGATTATAGTATCCCCATAAAATAATACCCAATGATTAAGACCCTGGTATCATTCAGTCTATTTCTTGAATAAGACCCGGAAAGCATAGTTATATTGATTTATTATTTTTCATATGAACACACCAGTGCCCAGCACCATACAAAGTACCCACGGGTACTAAATTTCAAAGCCTTTGATAAGACCCGGGTACTATATGCAGTGCTATACGGTATATATATTTTTTATTATTATATTCTGACGGATCGTCAGTACTGGGTAAAAAAAATTTTTTATTTGAATACTGTTCCCAAAAATAGAACAATATCAGGAACGGTATGTACGTACTGTACGTGAATCGATTTTTAACTGTTAAGGATCAAATTCGACGATCTATTAGAAACTTTTGTAAGTTATGTATATACTTTAAATTTTTTATTTAGAATTTTTAAGATTAGATTTAAAAATTAAATATATATTTTAATAGATTTGATTTAGGCCTTTGTATTACTAGTTGTACATTTATCAAGAGCTCTAAAAAAAGAATCAAATTTTAAAAAATTTATATATATATAAAGATTATTTGTTTTAATTTTATTAATAAAAAGATGTGATAACTAGTTTCTAATTTCCAAGTAACAAGATTGAAGTTTGATTTTAATTAGTAATAATTGTTAGAAACTAAACTTTGTATATTTTAATTGGTATATTAATTTGATTGGATTAATATTGGTGTAATTGTTATAAATTATATATAATTAAATAAAATTTTAATTAAACTATATATAATACAAATTATAAAGTAAAGTCAGACCTCTATATAATTACCAAGTTGGTTGCACCTTAATGTGGTGATTGTATAGAGGTGTGACTATAAACAAAATACCAGGTTATTATCACCTGATCTTTATCTAATTAATAACTAAATAAAATAGTAGTAATTATTATATAGTTTAGCAATAGCATGCTATTTTGGCCTTTAACAAAAAAATATTAAAAAAATATACAAGAACCAAAAGAAATAATATTTATTATTATTATTATTATTATTTTTTTTATTAATATAATATCATAGTAGAAACTTTATTATAGTCAGTCTGAAGATTGAAAGTTATTTTATAGTCTACAAATCCAGGTAAGGGGACAGATAAGCTATTTATTTATAAC